TATTACCCTCAGAGTAGGTAGCCAGCTGACTACCCTCAGAGTAGGTAGCCAGCTGACAACCCTCCCAGGACTGAAGTGAGGTAGCGTGATGTACCAGTTGTCTAAGCAAAGCTTTAGGAAGCGTAATAATTAGTTAACTCCCGTGTGGATCTCAACATGTTGCCTCGTTACTACCTCGTGGTAGTGAGCCCACCCTGGATATTACCATAGTTAGCGACTACCAGCACTCATGTTTCCTTCATTAACCTCCTGTTATTAACAACAACACGCAGATATATATACAGGCCACAATCAGGTATGTACCGAGCTGCTCGGTACAATGCAATACATCGCCACGTTATCAACTTGTTGCCCTTAGCACACTTACATATATCAGCCTAACTCTTCTTGATAAATGCGCTGCAATTAAACGGCCGATGAGACTCCTTTATAATGCCCATTATAATAGATCATGATCCTCATCGTGGCTGTCAACAACGTTATTGTCCTTTATTGGTAAACTGTATCGATCACAATGTTTACCCTTTCTGGTTATTTCTTGTTTTATATATCGAGATATACTAGACGAGCATGCACTGCTCTGATAGGCTAGTGTTTAGTCTTGGTTATCAGTCTTGAGTCCTGGTTACATAGTCCCTGGGTATCATCCGTCTACCATCGAGGTATGGGCGATAGAATATAAGAATAGGGTTACGACGATTTCGCTTAGTAATAGCGTCAAGCTTTAGTATCAGTCAGCGTCTTTGCAGTAAACCATTTAACGCGCCTGTTTAACGCTCAGTTAGTCTACTAAAGAATATTATATTTAATAGTGGGCTTATTCTTTATTTAATGCTTTTAAAAATCTATTTATAGATTTTGTAGTTGATGAACTGGGTTTAAACTCTATCTGATCGTTTGCTTTAGTTTACAATTTTCTCTAAGATTAACTCCAATTGTTAAAACTATACGCCAACTAAAATGACCACGGTTGCAATTATAACGGCACAGTATCGCATGCAGGTTATCTTAATTAGACTATTAAACGGACGTAGAATACACATCATGCAGGCTATTGAGCAATGTTATTGGGTATCCCTAGCAATTGCTACAGAATTGGCTTGTGGTCAACAAAACAGCCGAGTTGAAATTTGATTGTACAAAAAATTTAGATGAAATCGTACAGATGAGCCAATAGTCGGGCAGGAGCTCTGGCCACTGTTTACAGAGCTCCCGAGATTTACTCTAGTGATTCAGATTAATCGATTTGTTCTGTAATAGAACGCAATTTGATATAATGATGTTATTTCGTGCTTTTATAATCTTTGCCAAACGTTGTGATATATCACAACGTTTGGCGAAGATATACATAATACACTGTATGTTGCCGTTTTAAGTTCCTTATTTGGATTTTAGTTTGCACGGGCTTGCGTTAATTTAATTAATGAGATGATTTTGTTGCTAACTGACACAGTATGGGACCAGCTTCAGTACGTGGGTGCAACCCTGTACCTGGTACTTACTGGTAGGATTTGTCGCTGATTTGCCTTGATTTGCGAGAGATCATGACTTTTAGTATATTAAATTTAAATATATTGTAATTATGGATTGCACTGTGGACACAGTAGTCAATGACATTGCCTTTCATTAACCCTCGATTATTGAATTTTCGCACCATTCACCGACCATTTATCGTCCAATTTACTCCAACAACTCAATAACAAGAGAATCTATTGAAGTATGAAAACGATTGACCTGTCAAATTTGACAATATAATAGCCAAACATCTGCTTCCAACCAAAATCTGATGCATGATCGGTATTGTATTGACATGATCTCCGGAATTATATCTGCAAAAACCATCATAATATAACATTACCGGTAGACTCCAGTCTTCAGAAAAACAGATAATTGATTTCATGTCCTCTAAGCTCTAGCCATCCACAGACATTAAATATCATCTATAAATACACATCAGACAGCCCAACGACCCCCTGCCGACCACCTTATCCCAAACCAACCAACCCCAGGTAACGCAGTAACGCAGTGATTAGCCTTGATACTAACGTCAGATCTATCACTGTATTGTCAATTTATAAAGACAACCCGACCCCGAACCTGGTAAGTGTTGTGATGAAGAATTGACCCGGTTGTGTTTAGTCCCCCGTTTATCTGGAGCCGGATCTCTGGTTATCACATATTTACATATCACACACGCACCAGACACTGTGGTAAGACACAGGATTACGTTCTGATAGGTCTGTCAGCTCGGATACTTGCCAAACTCACCCCAGCCCTGGACACTGGACAGCAGTCAGGGGGAGGAGGCGACAAAGCAACATTTTAGCCCGCTGCATATAATATTGGATGATGTAGTCTCAGTTCTTAGGCCGTCCACCAGATGGTCCAACATTCCCTGGCCGCATTCATTAGTGCCCTCCCCCACCAATGTGCTGCTAGGATACCATTGGAGTTAGTGTTGCTATGTTACCTCACTAAACTGCCCCCACCTACCTTTAACTACCACTCGTCTGATCTGCACGTATAACCTAGCTAAACTTCGTTTTGCACCCATGAACCACATCAGATCTACGTTAATTCGCGAGGTTTTTTGTTTGATAAGAGCCACATTGAGACGAGGTGTAATTGGTAATGGTTTGTTGGGATCCTAACGACTACTTTATTGTGTGGTGTCACCACAACCTGCAAGTGTTGAAGAACACCGCGTGGTTGGCAAATGATCACCATATTATTGTACACCGTGCTTTTCATTTTCCATGAGTTAGATCAAGATGATTACTGACTCTTTCTCCGCATTGGATAATATGTGCCCTCTCTTACTTCGTTCATTCGTACAATCTTACAATGTTTAATGCTTCTCTATAGTTCTATTGTGTTGTGCAAAAAGGTTTATTCCAAATTGTGACGTCACATCAACAGAATTATAAACGGTTTACTTTGTTTAGAACTAAATAATTACTTAATTGATTTAGATCAATACAAATAATCTATTATTATCATTGATACCTATTATGTATTAGGCACACAATATAATGCACAATGGTCGTGATAATATACTCATATTTAATATTTATATAGCTATATCTCTCTCTACATGTGCTCGTTGGTGATATCAAATCCAATGTTGAATTATTGATGGCTCTGCACAGCATGGATTTATGACGATATGTAGTAATTGGCAGTGATAGCATATTTAGGGTCATAATTAATTAACTACAAATATTACTGCTTCCCGACCCCGTCGAGAGTTAAATTAGAGAGATAACTACAGGCCACAGGGTGGCTCAGAAGTAACTGCCTTTAATAATTCAAGTAATTCGTGTCAGATTATTGATTATAATAATATTGGTACCTAGAAGCTATATACAGTAAGCTATAAGATTTTATCAAGTTTGCAGCTATCGTCATATTTACGTGCGCTAACCTACTTCAGCTCCATTTAACGTAGGAGTCCTTTTTTGGTGATGTTAGATATACCAGATACCTACTTCAGCTCTATTTAATTAAAGACTCCGTAATCCGTATTTGGTGACATTTCTGCTATTTATTCAACTTTGATTTCCTGCGAAATATTGAATATTAAGGAAGATACGATCAAAGACTTTGAATTACAGTAGCTTTACTGCTCTAGAACCTTATTCTACTGGAAACATCATTGCATACAAGCTTTTAGTTAATTCATTTATTCAGTGTTACGGATTCCGTCGAAGCCCGTTTTTCAATAAGCGCTAATAGAGTAACAAAGTTCACGCTGCAGATTTACAGAATATCCAATAAAATATACTTGAAAATGTCTGACCACTTTGTCTCGTTTCAATTGGTGACTTAACTAGCTGGCTGCTAGATTTTTTTTAACGCATATTTGTTTATTCGCCAACTATTTACAACACTACAAATCTATTACATTTATTGAGAATTATGTAACGTGATGGAAATATTTTAAACGGGTCATATCCTGTCCAAACCCAGGGTGCATAACACGAAGAATTTGTTGTAACTTTGTATGAAAAGCATTAATAATACATGGTAAAACCGGGGCCTCTAGTATTTATAGTTAACCCATCTAGCAGTTTTAATATGACATTCCAAAATACAGGTTTGCAAATTTCTATTGTATATTCCTTATGTTGAGCCCTTTCCTTCTTTGGAAGGCGAATTTGTCAATTTGAGTGTGAGATGAATTATATCACCAAGATAATCAGTTTGTGCTAAATTCCTTTGTTTTAACCACCTGGTCGACTCCAACACAGAGTCAAGGTCGATTTAGTCACCTTTAACACATTTACGGTAAAATAAACGATGCCGTTTCGTGCTTCATATCAATTTTAACATAACGATCTGGTAAGCCAGGTGTTTTAAAGCTTCGCTCGTGGGATTGTTCGTTGTTCGTTTCTCTTTTACGCGATTTAGACGAGGTCTTCTACAAGGTCTTGCTTTCAGAGCGATGGAGTATTTGGGTATTAGTACAGATCATAATATCAGGTGCTGCAGCCACATATTGATACCAAAGCACTAATGATGTTTAAACGTTATCGTCTACTATCTAAATTACATGCCAAGATTTTACGGTTTTATTTATGCATAACGGACATTTTTATTACTTTTCATAAATTTTAATTTGGAGCCCTCTCCGAGAAACGTGATTTTTGGCAAATCCCAGTCAAAAATTGCCGAAGTTTGTCCGTCGGTGCCTCCTTTTCTATAAACTGGTGAATGACGTGGTGCTAATCGTCCTCTTGCCAGACGCTGTCATTTTAACAAACATTGCTCCATAAAAACACTTCGTCTTTAGCTAGCGGATATTTTGTGATTGATTATGCGCCAGGAAAACGATTTGTCTTTAGTTGGAGAATATACATTTTATTTTTTGCATTCTTAACCCACAATAAAAAGCTATACATTAAATATGTATATTTAATGTTATTTTTAAAGCTATATATTCTACATAATATAATGATGAAAATCTCAATTCAATATTCAAACTATCGGCTATTGATAATTTTACAAATCTCTACCCTAGGTATTATAGCAAGACAAAGTAAATTATGGCTGAAGATGCCTTCCCAACGGATGGAGGATTGCTGGCTACTACAGACTACCTGAGTCCGAAGCCGTACGGTAACCACATGGAAGTAGTAATAGGAGTGGCGTACATCATCCTCATGATAATCGGAATACCTTCCAACATCGTGTCTGTTATCCACTTCACCCAACAGAGTGCGAGGTCGAGGTCAACACGGGAGTACTTCAAATGGGTTTACTCCAACATTGCTGTGGTCGACCTTCTCATCACTATCTTCTGCTTCCCTGTCATAGCGGTGTTCCTGGACAGCAAACGTGATTCAATCTTCTTCCACAACGACATGTTCTGCAAGTTCTGGGGCTTCCTTTGGGAGGTGCTGCCGTACTACTCAGTGTTTCTAGTACTGGTGCTCAGTATCTCCCGCATGCTCATTCTTGTTAAACCAATGACAGTGCTCAGCAAGAGACTTCTCTTCTTTACTCTGGCCATTTACAATATTTTACTGATCTCAGCCAAGGTAACTTTCTACATGGCAGACATAACCCAGATTGACTTCACCAAAAGAGACACTCTATGTATTCTAACGTACGTTGCTGACAATGCTGGTATTTACCCTGTGTACACGTTTTTCAACATAATCCTCCTAGCAGTACCCATAATCCCTATCTGTATAAGCTGTGTATTATCTATTTCCCGCATGTACAAGTCATCCCAAGCAGTCCGCGGCACCAGGAAGTTGTCTAGCAACATTTCTAGACGAGTGAGCGTCAAGAAGTCCCAGATGCGGCATCGGAGAGCCACTATAACAGTTATCATTATGACGGCAACCTACATTGTGTGCAACATTCCCGTTTTTCTCAACTATGTCCTCTACGGTGTGTGGAGTGCTCTGACATGGACCACTGCGCCTGACTACACATCATTTTATAATACCACATTCATGTTTTATTACAGCTGGAACAGCTGTCTGGTGTTGATGGTGCTGACAAATGCAGTGCTAAACCCCATAATTTATGTAACCAGGATGAAGGAGTTTAGACTGTTTGTAGTTGGTAAGTTTCATAGTATGTTTCGGGATAACGTTAGAGATGTTACACATTATGATCAAACTGAGTCCCTTTCTTAGGTTAATTGTCTTTAAATAGACATTGCTAAGCACTGATATTCTCATTTTTGATTATGATTTCTATTCATGTAGACTTATCACTACTCCTTACTTATAACCGCCGAAATACACTATCAAAGGATGATTATATTGCGAACCTGAATCCCAAAGCGATTTGAAAATGTGTAATGATAATTATGTTAGGTAGCATACCAATTACAGTTTGATAACTGTAAGTGATTCTTGAAGATTTCCTGTGTGTATAAATTTGACCCATATAAATTTAAATATCTTAAGGTTATCATTTCTATATAGCATAACTTACATAATTCTGTGATGCATAATGTAATGTACTACAGTCCTCTTTAACATCTTGACTAAGCTGTAGTCCAAGAAAAATGTAGATGATGATTTTAAAATGTAAATGATATACACAGTTGTAGTATGAAGTCAGTAACCTTAAATTAATATTACGAGCCTTATTACCTTTTTGCTTTGAATGTTATTATACTGTAGTTACAGACTTTCCCTAATTTTACTTAATTTTGCACTATCCTGAAATTTCTGCACAGGAATTTGTATCATGTGTCAAGCAATAAAATCGTTTAACAATGTTTATTATATTTATTGTTGTTGCTGTTAAATTATTGTTAACTGCAATTCGTTATGCTGTGATCATTATGGTTAAATGCAAAATAACCTAAATAATTGTTGTAATAAACGTTAGCCTATTTATTTTGATATTCAAATTTAAATGAACTGAACATGATACCTTACTATCTTCAAGGTCATGAATGCAATTAATATCAAAATCAAATGAGAAATTTTGATCATACTAATGATACAATGACTATTAAAATATAAAAAAGATAACCTCAAGAATATTGTACAGAAAATTTGAATTGATGAGTTAAAAACAAAACATGAAAATAGCAATTTTTAAAAAAGGATAAAATTTTAAAAATATCATTATGAAAAATTATCGTGAACGATCTGAAAGCACTAAAAACACGAGTTCAGATAGATCGACTCTCTCGTTGCGTTGTTACAGTGCAGAGAACATCTCTGATTCAGTTGCATTAGTAGCTTATGATTATCTTAAAACGATTCTACAATTTTTTAAACCAAGATTGGATCAATTTTACACAACATAATTAGAGGATAGGAATTAGGAACTATTTACAAAAATCATAGATAATTCCAAGGTCGTCAGAGTTGAACCTATTCTTTTCTATTGGTAAGGAACCACTGTAGCAAGTGAACACTGTTATGTCATCTAAGTTCGAGGTAGGAGGAAGCTGTTGAAAATGAGTCCTGACATGTGGCTTAGACAGCTAAGTACAATGTACTAATGTAGGTGTGCACATCTGGATATCGAGTTAAAAAATGACCACCACTTTCACATCTCAACCTTGATTTTTTTCACATTAAGACATCTTACAGGCCCAAATACTTCCCAAATACTAGCACTTGGCTTTGAGGAACACATCACAATTAACACCAGAATTCAAACATTTGGCTTCAGCAGCTGCATCTGTCATAACATCAGGATGATCTTTAAAGAAGCATTTTGTCTAACAATCAAACAATAGGTAAAACCAAGATTCTGATTGCAATACTGTTGTTTGAAAGGTTATTATAATTAATATTAATAAATAAATTATGAAATATGGACCTAAGTCCTAAGTGATCTAAAAACAATGAAAGGTAATAATATGTCTTCATGAACTATAAATCGCACATGATTAATAGGTGATAAAATTGCACAGATAACATCATGAAAATCATGCTGGGGTATATTTGACATAATAAGGCATGATTGTCATGTGGGCCTAATAATCATGTGCAACTTGGGTTCTGGACTCTACAGCATTAAACTCTATGATGCGAGACTCTACAGCGCTAAAAAACAGGACTCTACACTCTACAGCTACAGTATGGCATGGAGATGTGAAAAAAACAAGACTCTACAGCAGCAGCAAAATTTCGATAAAAATAGATTTAATTTTATATCTAACAAGGATGCCCTTGGTCACGGGGAGTGTTCTTTGAAAGTCAGTTTTTATCACATCAAGATATTCCATCCCGACCTAAGACAAAGCTGATGAAATGTAACACTGACTGGAAACAAAGTCATGACTTGAACAAACTAATAATAATTTCATTCCAATAATCTTTGGACAATTTTACCAAAATTGCATGCAATATTACCACCAACCTGATATGATGCAGTTTGTTCCATCTATTTTTTAACAGTTCACATTCAATATCATACCTTGCTCATTGTTCAATAATGTGCTGTCATTTGTTCATCACTGGCCTGTACAATTACAACACTCTGATACCTGTTGGTGATGAAATTACTTCACGTAAGAATATTCAAATTAAATGGAGCATTCGCTAAAAGATTTTATATTTTGGCAGGGGCCTGTATTATTTTTTAAATTATTTTTTTTTTTTTTTTTGAAAATTCAATTAATCATTATATATATAAATCAAGCGTTACATTTCAGCCATGCAAAATTACAATGACATATTTTGATATACTAAATGATAAATGGTACTGCAATATAAGTTGCTTAATGTTTGGCCGGATGACAACTAACGAGAAAAATAAACTTGATTATATAATAATTAATTCGGCTGAACCAACACATAGCAATAGCCACATTAACGTTGGGGCCGTCTACCAAATTTGAATGACAAACATTAACAAGAAATCAAACATATCATAAATAATTATAAGGATTTTGTTCATTACAATTCCGTCACAACTGATAAAGAAAAAGAAAGGACAAGCAGATAGGAAATTGGACGGACAGAATTGTAACCAACAAAAACAAATTTCTGAGACTCATAAGACTGATGAGCTAATCTGGCCAGACTGTATCGGCAGCCCAGAGGTACTTGATCAGTTTGGCCTTAAAAGTAGAAATCCGCTCTGACTGCCGGATACATACTGGTAGACTATTCCATTTCAGCATAGATCTATGAAAAAAGCTATTTCGGAAGGCATCCGAGCAGGCCACAGTGGTACTCATGTAAGTTGAAGTATCCGACATATCAATTATTTGAGCATTGTGCCTAGTGTATCGGGTGCCCTCTGGACGGCATAGGACTATATATGTAGGGAGCGAAACTGGAATTATGCTATTCACTATTTTATAGAAGGTCATAAGATCGTTATAAATAAACTTCTGTTTAACAGGGAGAGTATTTAATTTCTTTTGCTCTGTAGCAAGTTTATCGTCATTATAACTGGAGTAAGGTTCACCATTGATCCATTTAATAGCCCTCTTTTGGATAGCAACAAACTGTTGAAGATGAGTTGCAGATTGAGGGGACCATATGACAGAACAATGTTCAAATATAGACCTAATTAACGCTAAATAGAACGATCTTTTCTGCCTTTTATCAGTAGTGAAATGACATGTTCTCTTAAGTAGTCCAAGTCTAGAGGTAGCTTTGGAAACAAGCGCTTTACATTGTGCACCCCAATTAAACCTGGAGTTTATTGCGACTCCTAAATCTGACTGAGAGGGCACAAAGTCAATATCACTTCCAGAAAGTTTATAAAAGAAGGTATTGAATGGCAAGTTATCCAGCACGTTTCTTTGCAGGGACACAGAGAGGGCTTTGCACTTTTGTGGGTGGAACTTCATTCGATTTCTCACTGACCAATCATATAATCTGTTGATGTCATTTTGGATTGTGTGATGGTCAGGGTAACCAAGGATCTCCCTCCAAATTTTAGTGTCATCTGCATAAAGGGCGATATTGGTGCCTTCAGAGACACAGAAGAACATGTCATTTATAAATATTACAAACAATAAAGGGCCAAGTATAGAACCTTGAGGGACACCAGACCGAACTGGTAGAGAAGAAGACGTTTGGCCTCCTATCACTACTTGTTGTTGTCGCCCCTCAAGATAGGACTTAATAAATTTAAGCATTAGTCCATCGACATTAAAAATATTCTTTAATTTACTTAAAATGAGGTCATGCGAAACCTATCAAACGCTTTCGCAAAATCAAAATATATTATATCAGTCCTGGACCTGTTATTCAATGCAAGTGCAAGATTGTCCGTGAAAGGTATCATTTGGGTTGTACATGAACGTTCATTAACAAAACCGTGTTGTCGGTCATCCAACAGATCAGAACATGCAGCGTATAATGCAGTCTTTATGCACCTTTCAAAGACTTTCATTACAAGAGATGTTAACGAGATAGGCCTGTAGTTCTCAACCGAAGACTTATCGCCCTTTTTGTGCACTGGTACTACAAGTGCCAGCTTCCAATCAGGGGGTATGCATCCGCTCGAGAAAGACAGGTTAAATAAAACACTAAGTGGGTATGCAAGGCTTTGGGCACAGTTTTTGAGGACTCTCCCATGAATCCCATCAGGGCCAGGGGCCTTGTTAGGATTTAACTTTTTAAGAATCAACAGAACATCTTCTCTACTAAACACAAGACTTGAAAAACAATCATCACGAAAATCTATGTCAATGCCATAATCGCTCTCTTGGGAAAACTGCTCATAAAAATATTCGTTAAAAAGGGCAGCTTGATCAGATGGATTGTTTCGAAAGCGATTATGATATTTGACAGTTTCAGGGATCCTGGTTGACTTTGATTTAGATTTAACGTAGGTCCAGAATTTCTTGGAGATAAGAGCATCATCGGAGTCATCCTCAACACTGAGTCTCATTCTTTCGTCCATCAAATTTTTAAATTTCGTGCGAAATGCACGAAACTTTTGTTTATGAGACTCAGAGTTGCTCCCCTTATGCCTTATTCTCCATTTCTCCTTATTTCGTAGGAGACGATCACATTCGGAGTCATACCATGGGGGCTGGAACTGAGACTTAATGGTCTTTTTAGGGATCCATCGGTCACAGGCTGCACCGAGAACTCCTCTGAATCGACTCCAGGCAAGATAAGGATCATTACACTCAAATATACTATCCCAATCGATGCTAAATAACTCAGAATTCAGGCCCCTAAAATTACCTTTACTATAATTAAAGATCTTTCTTTTAGGCTGCTTAATATACTTGGTCTTAATATCAATGTCAAATGTGATACAATAGTGGTCGGACATACACATTTCGTTTTGATCTAAAACTTTAACATTCTTAATAAGGTTTTGAATGTTAGTGAACACAAGATCTAAGGTGTTGCCTGACTTGTGAGTAGGGGAGCTAATAAGTTGCACTGTATGTCCGAGGTCATCAGTGAGAAAATTTACAAAGCTAGAATGTAACTGGCAAGATGACTGACCATCTGGCCAGGAAATCGAAGCCAAATTAAAGTCACCTACCAGAATGTGCCTTTGCAATTTTCTGGCAGATGCTAAAGTAACAAAATGTTTCTTGAAAGATTCAAAATTATCTAAGCCAAGCGTTCCTACTCTATAAAATGTTGATATACAAAAGTTTCTTCCACACTGAGTCTTAATTATGATGGATAATAATTCAGCTTGAACACTAACTTTAGAGAACTTTAGACTCGAGATATCAATGTCTGTTCTATGGGCAATCAGAACACCACCACCGTTTTTTCTGAATTTCTTGGGCTGGGTTGCATCCACTGGATGCGATCTTAAGGATCGGTCAAGCCTAAATACTTTGTATTTGTCAGGGAGCACCTCATTACTGAGAATGGAATTTTTCAGCCATGTCTCGTTTAGAATAATGATGTGAGGCTTATGTTTGTAGATATAACCATGGAATTCATGTATCTTGGTCATATTTAGTGGTGGTGTTCCTGATGCTAAATCGCGTGTATAAAATGTTTCAAACAGTATACACATAATGTCACAATGACCCTATATAAAAATAACCCTTCAAAAACTCAATATTTTGAAAATCACC